CTTTCTGTTAGTATTATCATATCAATTTGACTAGTGGGTGAGAACTGCCTCAGATAGGCCACGTTGAAGGCACTTGCATGGCTGGACACTAAGCCATTTCCCTTCGCTATAGTTATGCAGCCTATAAAGAGAGTAATAGTGCCTTTACAGTACTTATCAGCTAGATCATAGATACTATGGTTAGATATAACGTACCTAAAACGGCGATAAAGGACAACACACCGATCCTCATCTTGTTTAGGTTTGTCTTGCTGGGTGGGAGGGTTTAAATCTTCAAAGATATCAAATATAAGGTTGATCTATAATCATATTCATACATACTCTGTCTCAACTATTTGTAATGCTTTTGTACAACCTACAATTGAATATAGCAGTATCAAATTACTTGCAGCATCTAACATAGTTAAAATTCTAGCTCTGTTTGTTGGTGTACAAGCCTACTGTACTTATATCATCAGTTCCTCATTAAATTGCATAGCATAGTACGTCAATTATCATAGTATGACAGTAATTGTTGTATTTATAATAATAATTTGCAACCGACAAAGAACATGAAATGCAGGCGTACACAACGTAAGCTACCAATCATCATGAAATATAGAATTTGCACTCAGTTTGCCTATAATCTAATATCTATGCCTTTAGTTACTTATAGGTCTAGAGTCTAGATGGAACTGATGTAGGTCTACATACATAATGAGTAGAGTTGTAAATACCTAGCCCATACTACTACTACTCTAGTGAGAATACAACGTGTTTTTGAACAGAAATAAATTTGTAAACAATTTAGAGTAGAGTAGCTGGCATATGTTTGGTCACATTGTTTGTCATTTGTGATAAGTTTATGACTAACACACACATATAACATAGACATAATGTTTTAGATATAATGTTACAGATTTCCTAGTCATGTATGCAAACTATAAACTTGAGATGACTCCTAATTCTACTGAAGACGATACAGCAGGAGTAAACATAAGGTCATCTTGGCCTACTTTTACACTACACTGCACTTGTTTGAATGCATGCCAACAGCAATCAATAGCTTATATATACATCTGCATATACACACAATAAAGAGGTCACTAGACTGGCATGCACTGACATATACAGGAACTTAACTGCCTTCAACTCAACAAAACAGTTGGCTTGACAGAAGAAAGTACACACTGGTACAGGAAGTTGGTAGTAGATCTAATAATCCTATTGACTCATATAAAAACAAACATTTACATAGACACAATGCACACAAAAGTAATGTTCTGCAAAGTAACACACATGATGATACACTATTGTAGTCATGCCAGTAGTAGTGTCCATCATTTACTTTTGGTCATAAGTACTTAAATTTGATGACCAGGACGAGGTTTTGGTTTACTTGGAAGAATCTGTATGTAGATTGGCCCATCAGTTATTGTATCGTATATAGGCTCTTGTACTGAATCTGTTTTGTGATATTTTCTATGTATCACTAGTATTCCAAAGGTTATAGCACAGACTACACAAATGGCAATGGTAATAGCCCCACCACTTATAATGAGAGGTATTTTGGCTCCATTAATCTCATTACCAGTTGGTGTGGTTGTCCTTTCAACAGTTGAACAATTAAATGATGAAGGAGTATATAGTCTAGCAGACAAAACAAAGTGGGAATCATTGTCATATTGTTGTAATAATGTTCCTGTTATGTAGCCATATCCTCCAAACTTATCAAATCCATAAGCGTTTACATATATCCTGCCATTAGGATTACTATGAGCAATAGTATAGGAACCACTGGCTGTAGTATTGTATCCATATCCAGTGATAACTCCATTAGTATCTCTGATTGGTGTCCAGTTTAATGTGGTAAGAACACCATTAATGATTATATCACAATCGAAATAAGAATCAGCAGGTACTGCTATACTATAGAAATTAGTTGGCACATCAGGTAGTGTAGTGAATGTAACAGAGTGGGGATACTGACTGATGGGTGGAACTGTCATTAATAAAGGATCGCCATTAAAATCTGGAAAATAATGACGACTAAATGCCAGTTCAGCAACATAGCAAGGTTCACTACACACTAAAGTACAAAATTTCCCTGACTCGATATTAATCGTTGTAAAGTTACCTTCGTTCTCTAAGTATTCATTAATAGAATAATTGTCACAGGTTACATTTAGCTCAGTGTCATCATCGGATGCTAATACTTTGAACTGTTGTCCAGCAGCAAGATCGTAGAGTGGAGTAAGAAGAAACTGTGTTCCCCAATTGATAGTAGGTGGTATCTGAGTACTGATAGGATCACAAGCAACAGTATCGCCTTGGACTCTAGTGCAGTCGTGCCCCCCTACAACAGTCAGTGGGTAATTAGAGACAATTTTTGTTCCACTGAGATCAACATTAGGTGCACCTATCAATAAAGTCTGCAATGAATGAAGTGTGATGGTATGACTTGATCCAGCAGCAACATTGATAGTAGAACTGGTAGATGATTGAGGATTATCAGGTAATTGTACATCATGAGTAGGAGTGATAGTCACTGTAGTATTGCCTCTACAACCAACAAGAAGTATTTGGCTATAATAGTCGGACAAGGGAGTATTAGCTTTCTTGTGATCATTTGATATACCATAATAAATATATTCCTGATCAGGTTGATGTTCAATGTATTCAATGCATGGAAGTGCAAGGTATGTTGAACGAGGGTCTATTGTCCATCCAACCAATACAACAGAGATAGGTTTATCAGGAGGTGATGTAACAAGGAGACCAAGTTGACGATAATCATAGGTAGTCTCACGAACCTGTAGAGTTGATGGTAAAGTCACAATAGCAGGAGTATCTCTTGTAGTAGTTCCATTGTGAATGGATCCATTAAGAGATGAGATACTGAACTGAACTGGAGATATGCTTTCTGTTAGTATTATCATATCAATACGACTTGTTGATGAGAACTGCCTGAAAAAACCAACTTTAAATTCACTTGCAACATTACTTTGAGCAGTTGTCACTAAATGAAACAAAAAATCACTAAAATCTACTTAACATGTGAATTACCTTTAACAAAAATTGTGATAAAAAACAGCACCAAGCCAATAACAGCCATGTTAGTGTTTACAAATTACAAGATTATTGTTTATGGCTATTGGTAGCTTATATAGACAGTGGATATTTACATTAGGGAAAACAACCTTCCCAAAACAAAAAATAATTATTTCGCAAAGGTCATCTCAGTCAATATTGTAAATAAGGAAAAGTAAATAAGAAATAGTGCATCCATCGTCAGGGTGCAAACAATAAAAAACTGAGATAAAGTAAACTTTAAACTAAACAAAGCAAAGTACATAACAACAACAACAAAGTTTCTTGCTTAAATTAAAACCTCTTCTACTTCATCCTCATCATTGTGTTTGTTGGTGTGTATTTCGTTTGATAAAAGTGGTAGGGGGCGAGCAACGTTTGGAGGCAGTGGTGGAGGCCTTCGTTGAGAATCAGCCCGAACTCTGTTCCCAAAATGATTTATGTTATCATAGTTTGGGTGAAATGCAGTCAAGTTGTACGGCCTTCGAACTACATAATGTCCTGAGCTTTCCTGAAGCCGACTGCTACTCTCATTCAAGTTGTGCTTCTTTTTCTTCTTGCAGTGTCTTCCACAGCAGAAGCTAGCTACAAGAATATAAGAGCACAACACAAGAGTGAGTAGAACTCCTGATATTCCAATAACATAAGCTGTTGTGGGATTGAGTAGTGTATTCATAAAATCACTGACAGTTTGTGTAGGAGTTATGATGACTGAACTGCTGCTAAGCATACTACTGAGAGTGCTCATGAGTGCATTACTAGGCATTGGCATTGAATCATAAACAATGATCACTTGAGAATGTTTTAGTGATACATCAAGCCCACTATTAAATAGAATTATTAGCTTTCCGGTCATGTTTCGCTGGTTGCTATCATTAGTAAAGGAGTCTAGTTTTACATCAACAGATTGTTTCCTTACATATTGATTGAATGTAAGTCTTGTGACGTTTAAAGCCCTACCTATTAAAAATCCCCAGGTTAATGTTTTTTATTGCCAGTATATTTTATACCTTGAAAATCATTCAACTGTAACAACAAAACAATGTTATTGCTTCCTGGAAGACATTTTATCTCTGCACCTGTAGACAAAATATTGAGTGCAACTGAATTGTCACTTTCCATTACTGTCACTCTCTCCTCTGCAAAACCAATATCAACACCTATCATAATGTATATGAGGGAATATAATGATTAATGCTGTTTTGATTTACCTTTAGTGTTTTGTATTGTAATTGCTGTTTCAGCTAATGCAGGAGATGGGTCATCACTCACTGCTGCCTCAGCTAATACTAGTAAAGGTTCATTTCCACCAAACTGAGCATTGCTTATTGTCACATTGATTGTCTTTTCTCTTTCTCCAGCAAGAAATTTAACAAGTGTGTAATCTATAGAAAAAGAAAAAAATAAAAATCCAACATTAATTTTATTTGCTATCATACTTAAGTTAATTGCCAGACGTGTGTTAAAGCTGATGCTAAAATCATTGATTCTTTGAATAGTGAGAGTCAATTGATCAGAGACATTGAGGAGACAGTACTCATCAGACAAGAAACGAAGTGAAGGGAAAAGAGGGTTAAGTAAAGTACCAGCAGCATAGCTGTATGCTCCATCATCATCAAGATTATAAACAGCCACATAAAGACTATTCATTGAAGAACTTGGAGCTATTGTAGTCATTCCACTGAATGAGCTAGTGTATCCATATCCAACTATGACTCCATCTTTATCATATATTGAAGACCAGTTTGGAGTGACCAGACTTCCATTGATGACTAATGTTCCATTGAATGACTCCCTGGCTGGTACAGTAACTGTGTATAGAGAAGCTGATGCATTGAATGAACTCAATGATACCATTGTATTGGGGTATTGGGTAAGAGGGGAGACTGGGATCAGAAACTGTGCACCTTCTGTTATACCATAATGAGCAACATAACATCTCTGACTGCAAGTGAGGTAGCAAAGTGCAGTAGATTCATTAAAACTGTATACTTCACCAACTGAAGAAAGCAATGAAGTAGTTGTATTTTTATCACAAGATCTAGTAATAATGGTATTTTCTTCTGATGCTATTACAGTGTATAGCTGATCCGCATTGATAGTTTGCGATGGAGCCAGCAAGAATCCATCTCCCCAGGCAATGGTGGGAGAGATTTGAGTAGCAACAGAGCCACATTCGTATTCCTCACTACAGTCTTCTCCTCCTCCAAAGATACTAAGTGGGTGATTTGATGTTACCATAGTGTCTATGAGGTCACAGTTTATACTTGTCATTAGTAAAGTCTGATGAGAGTGTAGTATTGAGGTGTGATTATCCCCAGGAACAACTACTAATGTTCTTGTGTCATTCGATTGTATGTTTACTGGTAGAGTCAGGTTACATGATGGCCGTATAGTGAACGTGGTATTATCTCTGTTACCAACTAGCAGAATCTGACTTGTGTAATTATTATTAGGGTTAGAGTTGCTTGTGGAAACACCCAAGTAGCTGTATTCAGTAGTGGAGGAGGTATAGTCGTGATAAGGGAGGCTTAGAAAAGTGAAGTGAGGCACAAACGAGTTTTTTATTTCTCCACTGGCTCCAACAATGGACACTGGAGATGAAGAAGTAATATGAAACCCAAGATCCCGAGAGTTGAAACTTGAGTCCACCACTGGATGGAATGGCAGATTAATGATGCTAAGAGCATTCCTAGTAACTGATGTACTGTAATTATAACCAATCCTTGACACAGTGACATGAGCATTGTCCTCCTGTGAATGTACCAACAGCCTTAGAGTTGTTGAATTTGTAGATGGCATGAAACCAATATTAAATTCAACCCCATAATGAGAGAAATTCTGAGATAAGACACCTACATGGGTAGACAGAATAAATCAAAATACACTCTTAATTGTAAAGAACTGACTCTTAGCTGTAAGAATGATACTTAAAAGCAATACTCTCATTCCCAGCATCTTGGCTCCTTTCTCCCCCTCCTCTTGCCTCTCTGCTCACAACAGTTATTACAGTAGTTGCTCTACTCACTCTATCTCCCAGTAAATCACTCTACAATCATTACTAGACACAAAAGTAGTAGTAGAGTCTAGTATTGATAGCGGACAGTTGCTGTGTGTAGTGTAATAGTAATTTGGCACATAATTTGATTGACTGTACTCATGAGGTTTAATGTTTAAATAAGAATAATAATAAGAGCCTGCATGAGTAGAATAACAAAGTCTTCAATAATAAAACTGATGCTATTAATATTCTTTGGATAAGTATACAAATCAATAATAAAATCGATGCTAAATGATGCTATAAATATTCTTTGGATCTTAAGTATACAAAGAATTAAAAATTTATGTGGTCATTGGTCACCAGAATTATGTCAATAACATCGGTTTTGCTTTAGGCAGTTTTTCCTTAGGCTTCTTCTCTTCATCTGCCTGTCATGTACATTATAATTGACATAACAACTTGACACACATACTTGATTGTGTACCACTTTTTGTGGAGTTACTGGTTTGCATTCTTCAATTTTAAAAGATCTCATTTTTTCGGTTACTAAAATAATAATAATAATTAATTAATAATAATAAATTAATAATAATAATAGTTATCTACTCTACCTTTCTCTACATCATCAAGCTCTTCTAGTTCTCTTAACAAATCGTCTTCATCAATTTCTAGACCTCCAAACTGAGCTGCAGAAATAAGTCATAAAATAAGCAAAAGTTGAGTCAATACTTACAATACATAATGAAGGGTAGTTTGATTACATTTTCTAATGCATATACATTGTACATGAGCTACTATCCAAGGCATAGCCCATGGTTTCTTTCAAAAAATGGCTCCGAAATCACCCCAAATTTTTATTACATTTTCTGATACATATTGATGTCCTTATGCTACGTAGAAAGTTTGAGCTGATTCCGACTTTAATTTTTCAAGTTATGGCCGTTTTAAGAAAACGCTAAAATTCTGAAAAATACCCAAGGCTATAGCCCATGGTTTTTTTCAAAAAATGGCTCCGAAATCACCCCAAATTTTTATTACATTTTCTGATACATATTGATGTCTTTATGCCGTGTAGAAAGTTTGAGCTGATTCCGACTTTAATTTTTCAAGTTATGGCCGTTTTAAGAAAATGCTAAAATTCTGAAAAATACCTAAGGCTATAGCCCATGGTTTTTTTCAAAAAATGGCTCCGAAATCACCCCAAATTTTTATTACATTTTCTGATACATATTGATGTCTTTATGCCGTGTAGAAAGTTTGAGCTGATTCTGACTTTAATTTTTCAAGTTACGGCCATTTTAAGAAAACGCTAAAATTCTGAAAAATACCCAAGGCTATAGCCCATGGTTTTTTTCAAAAAATGGCTCCAAAATCACCCCAAATTTTTATTACATTTTCTGATACATATTGATGTCTTTATGCCGTGTAGAAAGTTTGAGCTGATTCCGACTTTAATTTTTCAAGTTATGGCCATTTTAAGAAAACGCTAAAATTCTGAAAAATACCCAAGGCTATAGCCCATGGCTTTTTCTAAAAAATGGCTCCAAAATCACTCTCAATTTTTATTACATTTTCTGATACATATTGATATCCTTATGATACGTGGAACATTTGAGCTGTTTTGGATCAATAATTTTTTGAAAAATTGACAGTTTAAGTTATTGATAAAATGTAGACTAATTGGTTCATAAACTTACTAGCAACAACATCAGATATATTCTCTCCTTCCTCCAATAGCTAATATTATGATGCTAAACAATGAAAAAAATTATCATCATCCATATTATACTAACATCTTGCAAGTCATCAACTATTTTTTCAGCATCTTCTACTTTCAGTCCTTCTTTCGCCC